AATAATGTTATGCCACTTGTACATTATGATATAATGTTTTTATTTAAATTAGCAACTAAAATAAAGTAATTAAATATTAATTACTAATAATAGACATAACCAATTAAGATGATTAATTACTGAAATATCTAAATAAGAAAGTAAATTAAATATTATTTTTTATTTAATTGAGTGATTAAATAAATAACTAAACAAAGTAATTAGATATTAAATAAAGAATATACATAATTAATTAATGAAATATTTAAATAAGAATTAAAATAAATATTAATTCTTTTATTTAAATAAGTGATTAAATAAATAAATAAATAAAGTAATTAAATTTTAAATGCATAATATACATAGCCAATTAAGATAATTAATTAATGAAATATCTAAATAAGAAATTAAATTAAATATTAATCTTTTTACTTAATTTATTTAATTAAGTGATTAAATAAATAATTAAAAAAATAAATAATATACATAGCTAATGAAGACAATTGATTAAAAAATAAATAAATAATATACATAACTAATGAAGACAATTAATTAAAAAAATATTTAAATAAGAAATTAAAATAAATATTAATTTTTTATTTAAATTAGTGATTAAATAAAGTAATTAAATATTAAATGAGCAATATACATAACCAATACTACTTTTTACTTTCATAAAATAGATAGAAAATTTACTAGTTCTAATTCCCAGTAAGTCGAAGCCCTATCAATATTTCACATCTAAACATTATTCTCGAGGTAATTGTTACTCACCGTGATCTTACTATTACACACAAAATTTGTTCACAGGATCGTAATCAGATAGAGACATGAGTCTAGTGGGAGTTCACGTGCTAGATTGAGTACAGTCTTCTAATTTGCTCATAGGATCGTAATCAGACATGATCATAATTACTTTATTTAATTATTTATTTAAAGACTTACTGAAATCAAAAATTAATATTTAATTTAATTTCTTATTTAAATATTTCATTGATTATTTTGTTTATTTAATTAATTATTTAGTCACAGTTGTATTCAAAGGTTCATAGACATCATCTGGCTTTCGAAGTCAAAATAATAAGGAATCAATAATCTAGGCGAAAAATTGCATGTCCTTGAACGGATAGAAGGACCATAGGAATGATCGACGGAGTATGACTATATATTCCTCATTGAGTCCTTCCAATACCGATACAACGTAACTTTTCCCAAAATGAGCTCTCATGATATTATTTAGGTGGTACTCCATTCTGCAAAAATAATACACATTAAAAACATTTATAAGAAATTATCAACATTTATTATATTTTAAAATTTAACAAATCAAATTACATGCATTAGTATGTAAGAAATAAAATCATTTCCTCGCACATTAAAAAGAGTAAATAAAAATTAAATAATACATAAATTGAATTAAATTAATGAAAAATAAATTAAATTCAAGAAAAAAATACATACATGAATGAGCAAAAAAATTAAATGAAGAAAAAAATGAAAAATAAATTATGGGAAACGAATTAGATTAGAATTTTTTTTAAAAATTATAAAATTCAAATATTGTTCTCTAAATAAAATAAAATAAAAATCCAGCAGGGCGGGGTCTGGACCATGGTCCGTTACAAACTACACGAGTCTAGATTCGGACTGCATGGAAGACTTTTTCGATTCATTTTTATTTATTTTTTTGAATATTTAAGAAGAAATTAAGTTAAATATTAATTTTTTTTATTGAAGTTTTGTGAATATTTTAAGAAGTAATTAAATTAAATGTTAATTTTTTTTTATTGAAGTAAGTGTTTTAAAAAAATAATTAAATAAAGTAGTTAAATATTAAGAAATGAAAAGTGTTTGATTTTTTAATTTATAACTTAAGGGTATATTTGTCTTTTAAAACAAAATTATGCCATTGTAATTTTATAAACAACTTAACGTTATTTTTGTCTTTTAACCTAGAAAAGGCTATTGTGAAGGTTGGCAAAAAATTTGGATTAAAGTGGTGAAGTGGCCATTTGACCTGGCCATTCTTAAAAGTACCCCGTGAGCGATGTGAGTCTGGTGGGCTTCTGTGTGTTGGGCCAGATTAGGGTAATTGTTAGGCTTGTGTGGTGAGATTGGATTGGGCTTGGTTTAGAGGGCTAGGTCTAGCCAAAGCTTGAGCCCTTTTCTTTTGGATCTGCTACTCAACCCCTATTTTGGAAATGATATTGAGCAGCTTTGGCAATGATTGTGGTAGGGTCCAATTTTTCGCTCATATTTTTTTAGTTTAAAAATGCGATAATTACGCTTGGTTTGTTTAGTAAGTGGTCCACGGGTTGTTGATGGATAAATGGGCAGAATGAGCTTTTAGGTAGAAGTGGCTTATGTTTTTGGATGGTTTGTATATATGTTTGGGAACAATAGCAAAGAACAGCAATAGGAATTGAATACAAGTATTATACGCCAGTCGACATTTTTATTTTTGGCACTTCTCTTTCTTCTTTCTTCTTTTTTCTTTTTTAAAATTGACAACAGCGACTATAGCTGCGTAGTTGTTTTTTTTTTTTTTTAAATTAAAAACAAATATTGACCAAAACCTACTGATGCCCCATTTTTCTGTTCAGTGTTTAGGTGAAAGATAATTATAAGGTTTTGGATGGATGTCGAAAGGGTACAATGTATTTGGATTGGATGGAAATAGTTGGTGAATTTTGAATTTAATGTGTAGGTCAAAGGAAAAAGAATCGCTCTGATATCAAATTAACGTCGGATGTAATATGATAATTGTAGGAGAAGGGGAAAAGTAAGAAAAAGAAGAGAAATGAGGGGAAGAAGAGAGAAGAAATGGGAGAGGATAGAGATAAATGAGGGGGAGAATATTAATTCATTTCATAATCAAAGGCCGTTTTGATTACATCGCATGACCCCCTTTATATAGAGTTTAATAAAATCATAATTAAGTAAAGAAATGCTATTAAAGTTATTAAATCATAATCTAATCATGTTTCCTAAAATGCAAATAAAAATCGAAAACTAGATAATCATTTATCTCCTATGATATTGGATCTCTAGTAGAACTCTTCTTTGAGAGCTCTTAGCTACTGAGCACTTAGAACAGCAAAAGAGAATATTTGAAGAATTCCACGCGTCATTTTATGTGTTACTTCTGATATAGCTATAAATAAGCTATCGCACTTTTTGGTGATGGAGGAACTTTTAAAACATGTCGACATTCTTTCCAGTGTTGGTTCTACTTAATTTTGTTTTCCTGACCCATAACTGGTTCCAATCATGCATCATATATCACATATCAAAATAAGCATCTAATTTGGTTTCTGCTAGGTTACAACTATTTGGATATTAGCTTGGTGCTACAACAACATTCAAGTCTTTAGAGGCGTTGAGACATTGACGCGTGGTATAATTAATATTTCTTTATGCACTCTTCTTCAATGCAAAATCTTTCCATTTTGATGGAAACCATTCTTAATTTTCTTCTCTTATGTGTATCTTTTATATGTTCTTTAGAGATTTGATTATATAATTAAGAAGCACCTTATACCCAGTGACTGATAAAATATAATGGCAATACAAGATTTATATTTGTCTGCAATTATTAATGAGCATCTATGGCCTTTCAGTACTTCTAAACTCAATATGTGTGATCTTGTTCGTGATTGGACCTTAAAGGGTGAAAATCTTATTGCCTGATAAACTTTCTAATATTCTTTTTGCTTATGATAGGAAAAACTAACTGAATTATAAATAGGTTACACTTTCACCTCCTTTTAAGTGCAAAATGAGGTTTTTGTGCATTGCACATTATAGACCTGTTTGGTACCCATTTTTTTAAAAATACATTTTTTTCTCCCTTATTTTCAATCACACATTCTGTATTAAAATAATATTACACGTAAATCAAAAAAATTTCCTTATTTTTCAACCACACATTTTCCATCAATTTTCTATTCAAAAATGCATTTTCACATAAAAATACCTCTCAAACACCCTCTATCTTATGTATCTTGCATTACTCTGTTATATTTTATTTTCAATTTGTTGTACGATCGACAGGACTTAATAATTATGTCTTATTTTGTGGTATCTGAAATCCAGGTCTTATTCCTGTAGTTGTTGACGGGACCAAAACAATCTCGAATTTCTATCGGCATTTTTATAAATCCACTTGCATACTGAAATCTAAGGTATGATCCTTTCACACAAATAAAGCAAGTTTTACTGCAGAAGCACAACTCTCATGCTTTCCAAATTTGAAGTTTCGCGTATTAAAAAAATTATAAATTGTATATAATAAACTCTTGTTGTCCATATTACAAAACAGAAGATCCTATTTATAGGGTTACAAATAACTCAAAAAGGCAATAACTCTGAAAGAAAAGATTTTGTAATAATTATACAATCAACTAATAAGGAAATAGTCCTATATAATTGGAAAAACATAATAAAAGATTATTCTAGACAATATTTCCATATTTCATATCTTTAACACCCCTCTTAAATTGATGCTGCTAAAAGCATCAATTTGCAATCTTGAACTGCGACGGTGACAATACTTGTGTCTATGAAGAAGAAATTCAAATTAGAGCAATCAACTATGAAAACTAGTGACGATGAGAGATCAAGAATAAAATAGTACAGAAATAACCAAAAAACAATTCCCAAGTCATTCTAAGAACACTCCAATAACACTCCAGAGAGTTCACTGTCTAAGAAGAATTTCCAAAAGAAATTTAAGAAGTGTAATGACACACACATTGAGCTCTATTTGTCGGGGGGATTCAGTCGAACATATAATTAATGTTCCGACAAAAGCCCTAACGCCAATACACCGCCCAAGATTCCAGCAATATATCGCTGACCAAGATGCTGCAGTTGAAAAAAAATCCTACCTAACAACCTACACCAAAAAAATTCAAAGATATTTTCCTCTGAGAATCCAAGACTCTAGCTTATCACCCGAGCAACAAAACTCAATGGTCTGCACTTTCATGTCTCTCTCACACTTAGCAAAAAAAAAAAAAAAAAATGATTTATTATTTTAGCATCGTTGCAAGCCCAAAATAACAAGCCCAAATTTCCAAAACCCCATCCACCAAACCCATTTCTAAATCCACTATCCAATCCGCAGCCTAAATGAATAATCAAAAGCATACATGACTTTAGCCCAACAAAAGAAAGTCCAAATAACATCAAACCTAAAAGAGTCGGAGCTATTGGATGACATGATGCAAAATTACTACAATAAAACATGCTAAAAAAATCAAGTGGAAATTACATATTCTAATGGATTAAAAATTCCTATTTCATAAATAAGATGCCATGCTTAGTTTTTCACAAATCATAATTTTTTAAATTAATTAATATATTTAAAAATTAATATTAAATTAAGTGTTATAATACCAAATTATCCAACCCTAATTTATTTTCATTTCCCTCCTTCTCTCTCTTTAGACCTACTCGCCCCTCTATGTTCCTCTCTCATTTTCAAACTTCGATAGTCGGCGATGGAGCTGCTCCGATGGACACCGCAAGCGCCTTCGTCGCCGGACTCAACTCGTGTGCAGCGATGAGCGCTGCTAGAGAGACGCCACTTGAGATCTTTACCGATTCAGCCCATTGCCACTGTGCGTAGAGGTGCTGTCGAGACACCGCTGTTCAACTGCTGTCTGTCGTGAATTTGAGGAGGCGTGATAGTTATTGTTCACAAGGCGGTGGTAGAGATGAAGTGGTGGTGGCAGCTACATCAGATTTGGAGATTTTTTGGTAAATGTGGTGATAGTGGTGTGATTGAGATAGTGGTTGTGATTTTTTGTACAGGAGGTAGTGTTGTTGGCCGTGATGTTGATTGTGGTGGTGTTGGCGTTGGCGTTGGCGGTGATGGTGGTCAGTGGTGATGATGGTTAGTGCAGTGGCAAACAAGTGACGATTTTGTGGTGGTTTGTGGTGGTGTGGGTAATGGTAATAGTGTTTGTGTGGTGGCGATTTGGTGTTTGTGTGGTGGCGATCTGGTGGATTTGTGTGGCGACGACGGTGGCAATCTGTGGAGGTGTGTGGTGTTGTGAATTTGTTGGCCATCTATGGAAGAGTGTGGTGTTGGTGTGTTGCAGCGACGGTGGTGCGATAATTTGGGGTGGTTGCGGTGATTATGGACAATGATAGTGACTCCCAACTGGTGTTGGTGTGTGGCGGCGACTGTGGTGGTAATGAAAATTGTGACTGTGATCGTGACTCTCAGTTGTGAGTCACAATTGGATACGTGACCTGAAAATTGTGACTGTGACTTAGAGTTGTGACTCACAATTAGATACGTGACCTAAAAATTGTGATTGTGAATCGTAAGTGTTGGTGGTGGTCACAAATTATTTGATTGACTGTGACCATTAAATTGGTTAATCTGTAATCAATAAATAATATGTGACCAATGAAAAAGATAAATTGTGATCGAAAAATAATGTGTAACCTAAAAAATTGTTAATTTATGACCAATAATTTGATAATTTGTGATTGTGTAATAAGTTGTGACTTGTAACATATGCGATTTGTGATTAATAAATAAATAGTGACTCATAATTTTTCGATTTGTGATCGATGAACAAATTGTGATCTATAAAATTTTTGAATTATGATCGTAAATTAATTTCTGACATAAAATTTTTGATTTGTGACAAAAAAATAATAAGTGATAAATTAAATCATTAATTTGTGATCAAATTATATAAATATATGACTTAAATATATTTAATTACTAAAATAATTGATTAAATTATAAATAATTTTTAATAAAAATCTGATTTTTGAAATTTGAAACTTATTTTCTTTTTTTTGAAATGTGTCATAATTAATCTCATATCAAATTTTCCCAAAAATCAATAATGCTGCCCAAATAACCAGCCTAATCATTTCAATAAGTTGCCAAAATTCTAATAAAATCCCAAACAATCAGCCCAATAATATTATCTTTAATTGCCCCCCGGGGCACAGTTCAACTGATGGATCAATCAACATTTGTCTTACTTCCAGTAGCAGGGTGGAGGTTCGAATCCTGGTGGGAACCTACGGCCAGATTAATTTGGTATAGAGCAATCATTTTGGAGGAGGATCTCTTGTGCGCAGAAGTGTACAGGCGGTGGGGGAAACCTGTGATCCAGTTGAGGCATAACCCGCGATTTACCCCCTCTAAGGTTCTAGGGGCAAGGGTCTTGGGGGTTCAGAATTTAGTCTAGTGTAAGTTGGGATACTGGATATCAAAAAAAAAATAATAATAATAATAATATCTTTAATTGTTGCTGCCCTAGCCCACAATTCAGCAACAACAACGCATGATCTATTAACCTACTACCCACTGGCTTGCTCCAATACTTTCATCAGGATGTATCATAACAGTAACTATTACAGCCAAATAAAGCATATTCCATCCATATAAATTAAAAAGAATGTAATTCTTCTTTCCTTGGTGGTGAATGTAAAGTCCCGATGAGGATGAAATTTGGCAAGGCTTTAGGACCAGATGACGTGTACTGAGGTTTCGAAGCGTTTCAAAGTAGTTGGAGTATCTTGGTTGACAAAATTATTTAACAATATTAATCACAAACCAAATGGATGCCATATGAGTTGACAAACAGTAAACTAGTTCCCATTTATAAAAATAAATGAAGATAGTGAAGATTGTAAAAACTATCTTGGCTTTAAGGTAAGGAGGCAAAACAATGAAAACTTTGAAACGTTGGATTGTTAAGAAACAAAGCTTTGGTACTTGGGTGCTAGCATAATTTTGGATTGGCTAAAGTGGTGTCAGTGGAGGATAAGTTGCATGAAAATCCATTGAGATGGGGTAGATGCACTCTCAGAAGGTTGCTAGATGCATGGTGTACAAGTTAGAAAAAGTAGTATGACTAGGATTAGTGGCAAATTTAGAAGAAAATGTCAAACTAAAAATAATTCAAAATAAAGTGGAGTGAAAGAAGAGGAAGTTGAATGATTGAATTGCATTAAACCTACACTTTTTGAAGTTTATCTCTCATCAAGACTATACGAAGGGCCTTCCCCAGTGATGTTACTATCGTGAGAAAAGCTGGAATCAAAGATTGACACTGAAACTGATTTAACACGTTCCTAAGATGTGGCTGCCTTTACATACACCTACTGAAACTCTCAACTTTCCTTTCCCTTTTACATTTCTAGGTCGCCTATTATATATTACATTTCAACATTTAATCTTAGGATAGGCACCAGAAGTTGCAAGCCTTTGAATAAGTGAGCACTTGGGTCCACTGCCATTTCATTTTGTAGCACTTGTTATCACACCGACAAAACCACAATTGAGTTGTTTCACGTTGTATTGTTCGCAGTGACTTTTCTGCTATTGATAATCAATAAAGTTGCCTTCAAGTACCACTTTTATGTTTTCTGCATTATATCAGATTGATGACAGTGACCCCAATGCTAACAAAACGAGGGACAGAGTAGAATCAATCTTGAAAACTTTAGAGGGACTCCAGAATTTTAAAACGGAAGGTGGGGGTTAGCTTCGTAGAGTTCCTACCATTTTTTTCCCAAAATGTTTTACTAACTTTTGGATTCCAACTGTACACAGTACATAATCAGGAGTGATCCCAGAAACAATTCCACTAGGTACGTGTTTTACAAGGCGTCTCTCTCTATCTCCCTCAATTCAGTGGAAATTTTCTCATTCTATTTGTAATGTTGCAGATTCTTCTAATCTTCATCATACTGGAAACTACTCTGCCTGCCATGACCTCTATAAAACAATATGCAAATTTTTCTCAACAGATTTTTGTCCTGTCTGAATATGAGATTTTATGTAGAAAATAAAATGGAAACATCTTCGTTGAGTATCTCGAAAAAGCAAAAGAAATACATGTCAAAGTTTGCAAATGCCTCTACACTTTTGTTTGTACATTTTCTCTTGAAATTGAAGGGTGTTATTAACTGACAAATATTTCTCATAATTCTATCTAGTACTGAAGTAGTTTCACCTTAATTTCCTCAGTTGAATCAGGGATCAGAACAGAATTGATAACTGCTGTACAGACGATTTTCTGTCACCTTTTGCTGATACTCTGTCGTTCTTGCAGGTTTAGTTTCAAAAGAAACACCTTCTTATCAGCGAATCACTAGAATTAAATCATTCTTATGTTCACATAATTATAATATAGTGTCCAAGTGAATTTGCAAACTCTTATATGATGCTTAAGTCACCATAAGCCCAGAGCTCGTAATTTGTATTTTTATTATTATTACTTTTAATCCCGGTTTGTATTTTATGTTATAAATAAAAGTTTTCACAATTAGTCCATTCTATTTAACTTTGTCAGTTTGTGACGAATTGTAGTGTTGACAGCTAATATTGAACTTCATTTTAATGCTAATATTATATTTTTATAATTATTTGAACTCTCCTTGGTATCGATGGTCATCTACTTTTTTCAAATTTATTTCTAATCGACGGCCACAATGTGTTTGAGATGCATTCTACGAAGTTGCTGGATGCAATTATTGTTAGTGGTTCATTTAGAAGAAAGTAAGAATTCGACGGTGGGGAGAGAGAAGAGACAGTTAATGAATTGCAAGAAATAAACGCTTTAGAAACTATCCCTCAACAAGATAATAAGAAGGGTTTTTTCTTTTTCTAGTCATTCTCTTCCCACACGAAAAAGCGGTTCAGCGACTTTTTTAGAACAAAAAAAGTTTCAATGACCAAAGTGAAACACAAGTGAGGTCGGATGACAAAATGTTACATTACCATTGTTGACCTCAAAAAGTGCGCCAACAGATGTCGGTCCCACCCGTGCTTGCGTGGGCGAATGTCCAACATGCTAAGACACATGGACGGTCTAAAACGAGCGGTTCAAAGGGGCGTGAGAGTAGCCCAACGACGCAGGACGGTGACGTTCGGAATCCGACGGTGCTTGTAAAGGTATATGTAAAAGTGTATAGATTCGATTTGTGTATTGCAAGCACGTGAGAGAGAGTTGAGTAAAATATAGTCTTTAGTATTGATTCTTGCATTAGCCTTTTAGCTTATACAATGGGGGTATTTATAGTGATACATATGGAATGGGAGCCCATGGATGAAGTGGCACGTGGCCTCATCTCCTTAGTTCAAATGTCTGTTCTTAGGCATAAGACTTGACTTGCTAGCTTACGGCGCATTTATTGCTTGTGCAGGGCCTTCATGCCAATGACAAGACTTGACCTTTATGCTTACGACAAACGTTCCATCAATCATTCGAATAAGATTTGTGCAGGCGATCTCTTGGGAAAAGTGACCATGGAGGATGTTTCCTTGTGGTTCAGAGGCTCGCGCATCAGCTTCGGGGCTTCGGCCATTTGTCATGATACTTCCACTTGAGGGCCTCAGCTGCTCTCAGCAGGTTTCAGCAGCCGGGCTTTGGTTTGAAGGCCTCGGTCAATGGACCTCGGACAAAGAGGAGCATCGGCAGATGGACTTCGGCTCAGTACTTCGGATGTAGCCCCACCTCGGTATTGTATGCCACCTCGGCAGGAATGCCACGTGAATCGTCAGGAGTGGGCCATTGTCTCAGGTAGGTTGCCCAGGTGTGACAACACGCAACAATAATCCCCCAAGTCCAAGTATATTCATTTATGTAATGCATGAACTTTAATGGAGTAAAAATTGAAAGAATTTTTGAACCCCAAATAACCATCACATCCACTCCTTGAAGTTTTTGATCACCCTAATTTGTCTAGGGAATTTTTGGTTGTTGCCAAAGTTTTGAGTGACAAAATAGGCTTCTTCTGATGTATAACAACTACAAGAAAATAATCGAGTTAGATAGAAGTTCCCGAAAGTAAAATAGGGAATATTTTTTGAAAATGTGTTCTCGAATTTCAGTATACCTTTGTATTTTTATTTTTATTTTTTTAAAGCTCCCCATTTGGCATTGAAGTGGAATGCAACCTTCTTTAATCTTCTATTTCTTGTGATATCTTTTCAAATTAAAATGGTTATCCATATTGTATTATTTACATACTTTCCATTTTAACTCCGTGTTAGTACCTTGTTATCCATTTTCTCCAAGTCCCTTCTTGACTTGGAATATCTTTGTGTGTGACTTTTCAAGTCTTGAATAGTTGATTGGGGGAGTAACACTATTTATTTGTAAGCATTGCTAACATATCAATAGTCAATGTGACAGTAAGGTAAGGTATCACATTCTCCTATAACATTTTTTCTAATCGAAATGTCATGATTTTCTAGAGTTTTTAAACAAAAGATAAATAGAAAAAAAAATCCATATTTTACATGATTTGATGATTGATCAGATAGAAAAGCTTGCCCAAACTTGTTACTCGTTAGAGCATCTTTTAATGAATTATATCAATTGTAATATAGATGGCATGCAAATAACTTAATAAATGATTTACGTGATTTTAATGTCTAATGAATAGATGATTAAATCCAAATTTCATTTTCAATAAGTTCTATCTATAACTTAATATACAGTATTATGAAAAAAAAAAATATTAAACAAAAGAGAAAAAATGAAAAAATGGATGGGAGAAAACTTAAATTTTGCTGCTTCCCACATTTAATGGAATCTATTTCTAAACGGACCTCTTTATAAGGTCTAATTTTTTTACTGTGTCGTTTACTAGATAGGAGTTTTAATTAGGTTGCAACGGAAATTATTTTTAAAGTATCATCTATTTTGCTTATGTGATATTTTTTTATGCAATACAACATTAGTATTGATATAGTCGTTACGAGTCCCACACAAGACATAGATTTTCAAATATGGTGACTTCATATAATGGATAACGATTATATTTTTTATTTTATTCTAAATAATGGAAAACAAACGCTGGCTATGCGAACCTTAAAAATTCATACATACAATATTATATGCATAACTCTACGTCCGCGAACTACAATGCTTTGCTTGCGGCACCGGCTATGGACGACAACGAGAACCCTACGGCCAGCTGCAGACCCAATGTTTTTAATTAGGTTGCAACGGAAATTATTTTTAAAGTATCATCTATTTTGCTTATGTGATATTTTTTTATGCAATACAACATTAGTCTTGATATAGTCGTTACGAGTCCCACACAAGACATAGATTTTCAAATATGGTGACTTCATATAATGGATAACGATTATATTTTTTATTTTATTGTAAATAATGGAAAACAAACGCGGGCTATGCGAACCTTAAAAATTCATACATACAATATTATATGCATAACTCTACGTCCGCGAACTACAATGCTTTGCTTGCGGCACCGGCTATGGACGACAACGAGAACCCTACGGCCAGCTGCAGACCCAATGTGCAATTCCAGCAATACAGCCGCATTCGCTGCCGATCAATACATAAGGCAATCCCCAAAATCGTGGAATTCAGCTCTGGAGCTATTGATTAATCAAAATCTTGCCGTAAAAACCCATCTAACATCGTAGAAAATTATAGAATTTAATAGTTTCAACGCTCATTAATATTACAATCATCAATCTCAAAATGTCGTATCAATAAACAATGTAATGAATAGCAGTGGTCGAAAGCGTTCTAAGTTTCAGCTTTTATGCCAAATGCTTCACAGTAGGTAATACGACATATATCCAGTAGTTAGGAGACCAAGTTGTTGACTGTAGCTAATGAGCACCTTGAAATTTTTACCGGGGAGCATCCCGTCGAGCGCCACCCCTAGATTTTTGGCAACGGGGGTCCCATACTTCTCCTCGAGCTCTCTCGGATTGGTTTCTGCCTTGTCCCATAAAAATCCAGAAGTAATTGTTGTCAACTGGTGAGTAGAATCTGTACGCAAGTTTCAGTTCGTGTCAGTCTTTTGTGTCCATTACTTAAATATTTTGGTCTTCTTTTGTTGGGGAATTCGGAAATTTCAGGGAGAAATCGAGAATTCCTCAACATGTTTTCAGCGGGATGAAGGAGATGAATATGGCGGTGAGACATGCAGAGAAGCAAATACCTCCGGGTCCTCACTGGAAATTTTGCTACAAGACTATTCGCAACGATTTCACAATCATTGCCCTTATCCTTCATCAATTCGATCTAGATCTTCGTAATGCTGTGAGTTACGTTAAAGTATACTAAATTTTGTGTGTTCGAGTTATGTTTCGTGTCATCGTGTGCTTAGTTAGATGCTTTGTTGTTGAGTTACGTTTGACTGCATTTAGGAAAAGAGAGAAAATTTAACTGGATTCGAAAAAGACTTATTGTGTATTTGAATGTTTAAAAAAAATCTGTATATTTGCACCTTCGACTTTTGTAAAAAGTTCACAAACATTTGAGCTCTTACTTTTTGACGCCACCCTACCCTCTAACTTTCAACATAATTAATCCATGAAACTGCCACCATTGTCACCGACAAACCCAGTGCACCAGTGTAATTTGAACTGCCTAGAAAACAGAGAGTACGAATGGTGGTGGCTTCAGCAGGCAAACTAACATGCTGGGTAGCATGGATGAGCAGCCAAAGTTGTCCCTTATCTTAAAAAATTGATACAGACTCTGTCAATCTCCTTGAAATCCAAAAGGTGCATTGAGTTTCACTGCTTAGTAAATTGTCCACATGTTTTCTGCCAAGTTGCAATTTTTCTGCAGACTTGAGTAGTATTGTAATATCAATTTCGCGCCTTCTTATATTCCTTTCTGCGAAGAATGATTATTGTGTAAAATTTCTTATACTTTGCAGGTATGCGTTCTCTATTTGTACCTTCATACACTTGACCACATTGGTATGTTTTAACTATATTGAGTTTCTTTATTTCATCTGTTAATTATATAAAACTGCACGAATGATTCCTCTAAAAGAATGTAACTGCATGACTGCGTATGCAGACAATTGCCAACTTCATAAAGGTCATTTGACATAGTTTAATTATTAGTCATAAGTGATATTAGTTTTACTTATATATGATAATGTCCTCAAGATTAAGAAAATTAAGTTTTGGTAAGATCGTGTCGTTGTTGAGTGTATCCAGCTTCGTATTTCCTCTCTACGACAGTGATACTTTTGCTTCAACAGCAAGTAGGCATTTCGTCTTACTTGTGGATCCTTGCTTGTCCTCAACTTCTTGCCGTATCTGGAAATTAAACAGAGGTAAAGATTGTGAAAGACTACGATTTCAAATAAAATTAAATGGAAACACTATCGCAGTAAGCAAATTGAATTATGCTTGCTTATTCTTCTGATTCAAGAAGCTGGCACAAACAGAGCATAAACAAATTACGTTACCTGTCTTACGCCTAATTTTATTTTTGAAAGTAATGAATGATACAAAAGCTTCATTCAAGCACGTGTTCATCAGTGCGTGGAAACTAACATGTCTACCCATAATTTATACAAATTATAAAAACTTTAATAACATATAAATGACCAAAATTTAAAAAATATATAAAATAATGAAGAGTCATATGGAATGTCTGTTTAAAAGTGGATAGAAGTTGTGGGTCATTGTGGAATGTGTAGTTAGAAATGATGTTTGACAAACTTAAATTATAATTTAAGCTTTGCCAATCATGCACTAAATTAGCCATTAGGGCAGGGTGGGGACAGTGGGGCATGGGATAGTAGACAGGTGGAGGTCATGGAGCTGGAAAAAGGGAAGGGGGAATGTTAATTGAGAGCTTGGCTTGGCTTGACATGAACATAATAAGAATTAGGTTACACTCACACTCTAATGGTATTCCAAACTATTATTTTTTACCTGAAGTACTTGACCTTGCTGTCATTATTCACATTAATTTCATTCCTTTCGACAGAGGATGATACAAGCATAGCCACCGAGATTCGAGTACCTATTCTGATGGACTTTCACCATCACATATATGATCGTGAATTGCTTTTTGCATGTGAGTTTTAAATATTTATTCCTCTATGTTTGACACTCTTTCTGCTTATTGGACTTTGCACGTTGAAGAATGTGTTGTGACTTGATAATCCATAAGTGAAGTTTGTTCCATCACATTTGATGAGGTAACAGAATACTCTTTTCTGATTTCCATCATTTTCGACCCTTGTGCATCTTCTTCTTATGGAAATTGAAGTCCGTTAGCAGACATTGAATCTTTGATTGCTGCGCAGACATTGAATCTTAGATTGCTGCTTTTCTTTTGAGGATGGGGGAGTTTGTGTGTTTAAAAAGTTCTGTTTCTCTAATGTATGAATACTCTAAGACTTGCTGCCTGATCCTTCTTGTATTTTTCTTAAAGGTGGTACCAAGAACTACAGAGTTGTCCTGAACAGGTTCCATCATGTTTCCACTGCTTTTATGGATCTTGGACCCAGGTTTTCCCTTAATAAACAATTATTTATTCCGTGATGATTTCAAATTTGATTTGAATCATGTACTTACTAATTTACAATTTGATCAGCTCCAATGTTTCATATTTTCTAGAGCTAATACACAATGATATACAATTATTCTGAAACTTTCAAGAAACTTGATTGACATGCGTCAACTTGTTAAAATCTTACGATCTTTGTAAAATTAACGATACTTAGACTACCCCAACACGTTACCATTGAGCGCCTGAGTTATGGATACTTTGTGAGATTGTTGGTGGGAAGTTGAACAAATGGATCTGAGGATCTCCGTAAAAAAATTTTCAAAAAGTTTCTATGGTCACAAAGGGGAACAGAAATCTTGACAAAATTCCTATTCGAGGCAAAAGCAAAAGAGAACGGCTTTCAGTTTCCTTCTCTCTTGATTATCAAGTGTTATCCTAAGAAACGTCTAGGCATCTTTCTGATGATGTCTTATGAGCATCCTGAGCCGATCATGGAGATTTTATCACACTCTATTTTCCTAGTTGTTATTATGTGATTGGTAAGTTTGGATGATGGATATCTGAATTCAGTTGATTCTAGTATGTAAGGCAACTATGTTGCTTTTGGTTGAATTCTTCATGACGCATGGTATCTGCTACCCCATGTTAATCACTTTTGACATCTAAAACTTCATGTACCTCTGCTTTAAATGTGAGTTGGCCAATATAAAAATTTCTCATCATTTGGAATGAACAATGTTTGGAGAGTTCAGAAGTGAAAATATGGGACAATTCAGTTAAAAAACAACATTTATCTTTCAAATTTGTTTTGCTTCTGAGAACTGGTATTATGGTGGCAGAAGTCACATTACCCTATAATTAGTTCAATGTATAAAATATGCATTCTTTTGTGCATGCCACATAACTCTCCTTTTTTATAGTTATCAGGAGGTTATTGAGGATGTTATTAAGAAGATGGGTGCTGGAATGGCAAAGTTTATTTGCAAGGAGGTATGTTTAAAAACATCAAGCAGGAGGTAGTTCAGTAATGCTCTGACATTATCAATATATTTAAAATGGTTGATTAGTAATCTTTTCCATTTTTATCTTAATTTTGTTTGACTCAAGTCCAATCGTTGGGATAGTGACACAGCTTCTTTGTCAATCCAGATAGAAACAATTGATGATTATGATGAATACTGCCACTATGTAGCCGGACTTGTTGGATTAGGGTTGTCAAAGCTATTCCAAGCTTCTGGAAGAGAAGATTTGCCGCCTGGTACTTTCTTTCACGCATCATCTGTATTTCTTCAGGTACTGATTACATTATGTGTAGCGATTGATACCAGTGACATCTTTGAACTCATGATTTGATAGAAATTCCTTGTTCCTTTGAAATTATTGAAGAAAGCCGACGTTATCCTAGACTATCTGGAGGATATCAATGAGACACCGAAACCACGAATACTATGGCCTCGGCAAATTTGGAGCAAGTATACTGATAGACTTGAGGTACATTTCTTTTCCATGCTTCAATTTAAATCTAGTTTACTGGTGATTGAGTTGCGATATAGATTTCCTGCTAAATCAAGGAGGGCAAGTTGCGTTGTTGACAGTCATCTTTGGTTTTACGCACCTTAGGACTTAAAATATGAGAAGAACTCCATCCAGGCACTACACTGCCTGAATGACATGGTCACAAATGCGTTGATACATGCTGAAGATTGCCTAAAGGACATTTCTGCTGTGCGAGATCCAGTTATCTTTCGGAGTTTTGCAGGAGTGCAGGTATATTCAGTTTTAAGTGATATTAAGATGTTTTAGACCTTTCTTAGTGTACGCTCTTGGTTAAAGATTCTATTCAAAAAGCATTTCATATATGATGATGGTTGTCATGATGAGAGCAAAAAAATTAAACGAATTTAGTCTGAAGCTATTTCTTGTCACGAGATCGCAACATTTAATTTGCTTTTACGGTGTCTTAAGGACCATTCAGTGTCAACAAGTATGAAAGGAAATCTAGGATCCTTTATTGTTACCAATGGTGTAGTCACTGTAAGACTTAAAAGATGGGGGAGATTGCATGATGTTAGAACTATTCTTAGAAAGCTTTTAGCTAGGGAGCACATTGGGCAGCACAAGAGAATATCTGAAGACTCCCACATGTCATTCTGTATGTTACATCTGATACAGCTATAATCGCTCTTTTTGGTGATGGAAGAACTTTTAGGACATGTCAGCATTCTTTCCAGCGCTGGTTCTGCATAATTTGTTTCCTGATCCATAACTGGTTCTAATCATGCATCAACCTCTTTATATACCATATCAAAATAAGCATCTGATTTGGTTTCTGCCAGGCTGCAGCTATTTGGATATTAGCTTGGTGCTACAACAACATTCAAGTCTTTAGAGGCGTTGAGACATTGACACATGGTATAACTAATATTTCTTCACTCAGTCTTCTTCTTTGCAAAATCTTCCATTTGATGGAAACCGTTCTTAATTTTCTTCTCATAGGTGTATCTTTTTTTATGTCCTTTAGAAGTCTATAATTAAGAAGTACCTCATATCCTGTGACTGATAAAATAAAAGCAATACAATAGTTAGGTTTGTCTGCAATTATTAATGAGCATCTTTGCCCTTTCAGGACTTTTAAACTCAATATGTGGGTTCTTGTCTGTTATTGGACCTTAAAGGATGAAAATCTTATGAGCTGATAAACTTTCTATATTCTTTTTGCTAAGGATAGGGAAATTACCCTTCCGCCTCCTTTTATGTGCAAAATGAGGTTTTTGTGCATAGCACATAATATTATGAATCTTGCACTACTCTGTTATATTTTATTTTCAATTTGTTGTACGATCTACAGGACATAACAACAAATTATTTCTTATTTTGTGGTATCCATAAACAGGTCTTACTCCTGAACTTGTTGAAGGGACCAAAACAATCTCAGATTTCCATCGGCATTTTCATAAATGCACTTGCATGCTGAAATCTAAGGTATGATGATTCATTGCACACAAATCAAGCAAGTTTTGCTGCACAGACACAACTCTCATGCTACTTGACTAATTTTGAAGTTTCGTGTTCTTGTCATTCGCAAAACTTGTTACCCTAATGCCAAGATATCATGCATCATAACAGTAGCTATTACTGCATCAAATAAACACTTTTTGAAGTTGGTCTCTCATCAAGACTATGAGAAGGGCTTTCTCTAGTGATGTTAGTGTAGCGCGGAAAGCTGGAACCAAAGAATGACACTGAAACTGACTTAAGAACTTTCCTAAGATGTGGCTGCCTTTACATACACCAACCGAAACTCTTAACTTTCCTTCCCTTATCTTTCGGTCACCTATTTAACGTAATATTTTTGGAAAGGCACCAGAAGTCCCTAACCTTTGCATAAGTGAGCAACTTGGTTCCACTGCCATTTCATTTTTGTAGCACTTGGGTCCCCGCGGACGGATCCTCAATCAAGTTATTTCACTTTGTATTGTTCAGTGACTTTTCTGCTCTTGATATTCAAAAAAGTCGCCTTCAATTCCCACTCTTATGTTTTCTACATTATATGTAGATTGATGACAGTGATCCCAATGCTGCAAAAACGAGGGACAGATTAGAATCAATCTTGAAAACTTTAGAGGGACTCAAAACTGTTAAAACAGAAGGCGGTTAGCTTCATAGAGTTCCTACCATTTTATTTTTTCAATGTTTTACTAACTTGTTGTTCCTCCAGGACACAATTCATAATAAGAAGTGATCCCAGAAACAATTCCACGAGGTAAGTGTTTGACTAGGCATTTCTCTCACTCTCTCAATTCAGTCGAAATTTTCTCATTCTATATGTAATGTTACAGATTTTTCTCATCTTCATCATACTGGACACTATTCTGCCTGTCATGACTGTATTTTATATGCAAATTTTTCACAAATGATTTTTGTCCTGTTTGAATATGAGATTTTATTGAGAAAAAATAAAAGGGGAAAATGAAATTGCGTTATCTTTCAAAACAAATGTCAATAAAATTTTTATAAATGTAGTTGAGTACCACAAATAACCAAAAGATATACATGTGAAGTTTGCAAATGTCTTTACTTTTGTTTGTACATTTTCCTTTGAAATTGAAGGGTGTTATTAACTGACAAATATTTTTTGTAATTATGTCTAGTGCCGGAATAGTTTCACCTTAATTTCCTCAGTTGAATCTAGGATCAAAACAGCATTGGTAACTGCTTTACAAATGGTTTTCTGTCTCCTTTTGCTGATACTTTGTTGTTCTTGCAGGATTAGTTTCAGTTTCAAAAGCGCCTTCTTATCAGCTAATTCCTAGAATTATTAAATGCTGATGTTTGAATCTTTCTGCATTTAAGTGTCCAAGTGAATGTACAAACTCTTACAGAAGCTTGTGTATTCGCACATTAGTCCATTCTATTTGACTTTACGCCAGATTGTGAACACGTTGTAGTATCGACGGCTAATATTGAACTTCATTTTATGCTATTATTATATTTTTAAATTTATTACATCTGCTCTTTTTTTCCTTTTCTTTTTCATTTTTGTTTTTGCAATGTTGACATGACTGATAAAATTGTTGAGGCATTACCAAACCAAAATTTATCTAGGCAGCTCTAGTTGATCTGATACTAACTTTTTTAATTGTATGCTTAGATAATTATGGAGAAAGATATAATGTAGGAATGTTGGTAAATTTTAAGGTGAAGATGGAGTAAAATGTTTTATTACTTTATTTTCTTTTAATTGTTCGTCATTTATATATTATTATGATTTTTTGAGTGTATTTTTGTCTTTATATTGTCGTAGGTTTTTTTTTTTCTAGGATTTAATATTATTTAAACTCTTTTAAGGGTTTTATGCTTTCTCCTTGTCTATTGATAAAAAATTAAGGAAATTTTGAGGTTTGCTCCAATTCGTTGATACATTCTTGGTATTCACATTTTGAATCAACGAGTTTATTGATAAGATCAATTATTCAGTACTCGTAATTAATTCTTAAATTTGCAATATTCTTGGTGTATTGACGTATTTTTAGGATTGTTTTTAGTTTGTTCTACTTCACGCTTGCATGCGTTATTTATTATCAAAGTCCAATCACGTTACTAATAGAGACGCTGGTGTTTTTGGAATTCAACTGCTAAAAGTTTCGTTTTGTGGTGAAGCTCTATTGTCCCTTTCAATCCAGATCTAGAAAAAAAATATTTGGATTCTAATGAGTTTTAAGGAGGTCCGATATATTTATGTTAGAGCTTTATCACGATCTATCATGTGAATAAA